TGTTCAGCCTGCTTTCTTATGCAACACAGGCCCACCTGCCCAGGGGTGGCACCACCCACAGTGGGCTGGGCCCTCCCACATCACTCAACAATCAAGAAGGTGCCCCCTGGACATGGCCACAGGCCAGTCCAATGACAGCAATTCCCCAATTGAGGCTCCCTCAACCCAGGTGTGTCAAGTTGACACTAAAGCTATCCAGCACAGACACCAACATATTGCAGAACTGGGTATACTACCAATGTGCAGAGTGCATGTGGAACATGCACTCCGAAAGCCTCAATGAGGGTGGGGGATGGGTAGGTGGGGGAGGCTGGAAAGATGGTTCAACAGTTAAGAGCACTTGCTGCTCTTGTAGAGGACTGGGTTCCACTCCAGGACTCATATGACCAGTCACAACCATCTGTAATTCCAGTTCCAGGGTATCTGACACTTTCTTCTGGCCTTCATGGCACTACATATGTGTGATAAAACACTCATATACAAACATGAAGGCAAAACACTCATACACATAAAGTATGGGGTGTCAGTATCTGAGAAGCAGATCTATCCTAAAATGGTTCCTAAAGTTAATTGTTTCAGACAGAGAAGCCTGAATTGTCATGAATATGTCCTTAATCTATGTCACCACAAAAAGCACAACTGGATTAAGCATCAGCTTTTGAGAAAGGATTATCTTGAGAAATCTTCAGTGAACCCAATGGACAGTAAAAGAATCAGCTGTGAAATCCCTTAAATAAAAATTTGCAAAGAGCCAGGCATGATGGCACGTGCCTTAAATCCCACCACTTGGGAGGCAGAGGCAGGCAGATGCCTGTGAAACTGAGGCCAGCCTGGTCTACATAGCAAGGTTCAGGCCAGCTGGGGTTATAAGGAGAAAACAAAACAAATATATTGACTTTATAATTAAAAAAATAAGAAAAACAAACAAACAATCCCAAATAACCCACAACAACAAAACCTCAGCTGAAATGCCCAGGAACACACACCACGTAGTATTGTGATCTAGTATGGGGAGGTATCTTAGTTTGTTTCTCCATTGCTGTGACAAAACACTGACCAATACCAACTTGGGGAGGAAAGGGTTTATTCAGCTTACATCTCCC